GGGATGGAACTCCATAGTTAATGGCCATTAGAATGAGTTGTGGAGGTTTTCAAAAGTGAAGATGGTTTTGTGCAATTAGCAAACATGTTAAAAAACTGCACTGTCATAATATGACATGTGTGAAGTGTCAGAGAGAAAAAGAAATCAAAACAATGACGACCATTCTAATGCAAACAATTAAGAATTTGTGTTGTCTTGAAATGTCATGTCCTTGAAAATTTGGTGATGTCTGGAACATTTTCCTTTACATATGATGGATTTGACGTGCCTGCCATGCACTGCATCTCCTATGTTGTCATCTTTTAGCTTGTGCAGGGGACAGTGGCTGACTGAATCATCTGGGAAGAAGATTAACAGTGACTTGACTTGTGATAATTAAATATTACACTGGGTGCCTTACTCACAATTCAATGCCTTTTCAAGTTATTATGTCAACAAAATGTCAAGTATGATGCTGATACTGATTGAAACAGCTGCCTGATAAAATCAAATGATTAAATTTGATTTAGTAAGTCTACACTTTTTGGACCTCTTTGTGTTCTGCAGTTGTTCATTAAGTACAATATTATTATTATTATTCTAATGGTGGCTACACACTCCCATGCAGGACAAACATAACACAATAGTGCAAAGTCACATGCAATGTAAGTATTTTTTTAGCACCTTAGAACTTTAAACAGTACACATTTGGAACAGTATTTTTAGGGGTAGTCCATCAAGGTAGTCCATGGACTGGAGGTCAGTGTTTTGTCCATCACTTCCCTGGACAATGACAGTAGTAGCATGCTGTTAACTTAACACTGAAAAGGATACTTGTCAATCATCCTTGGGACGTTCAGTTCTTCCATAACAGAGGATTCCAGTTTGATTTCTAAAATCTGGGAAAACAATACGTGTATTAGACATTTAAACAATGTCATCATGTGTCTAGCCCCATGAGCCCTCCCCTGATGACGCCGTGCTCGTCAATTTTTTTGGTGATGTTGCGGTGTTCAGAACCCTGATGTCCCCTTCCATGAAACCAATTGAATACTTATTCTCATCATTGCTTCAAAAGGAACTCCTCCCTCAAACTCTGCAATTCTCATTCAAATACAACACAAATTGAAGAAAGAGATGTCATTGTATCACCTTTGAACAAAGCTTTCCACCACTGATATAGCTATACCTTTCTATTGTGGTCTTAATTATTATTAATTTTTTAATTCAGTCTGATACATACAAGAGATTAACCTAGAAACATAATACATGACTGGGAGAGAGAAGGCTTGTTTCAATGTTTCCATCAAGTCTTGATATTGGTATGCCTTGTGGATTTTCTCTACCTAGACACCAGCATTTTCCAGAATACCTTTGACTGAGGTGTAGGAATAGTAATAGTAATAGTAATGGGTGCACTTTTCTTGATTCTGATGTTGATCCACACAAACTTTACAAGATTTAGTTACCCTGTTCATATTTAAGCTATACTTGAATCAAGTCAGAAATACATACAATATAATAATAATAACAATAATAATAATAATAATAATAATAGATATTTATACAATGTATAGTGCCTAAGTATCCAGATCTGTTCTAAGAGATAAAAATACAGAGAGCAATGTTAAAAAATAAAGTAAATTAAAAATTATCACTCGCTCAAATAATAATTTCTAATCATTATCACAAATAAAAGTATATTCTTTTATTTCGTTCAACTTTATCTTTATGCCGATGACCAAATGATAACAAAATACTTTTCTTTAAAAATGACTTAACCTTTACTTCTTGTCCTTCTTCGACAACACCTTCCACCATCTTGCTTGTCAGAGCATTACCGACTTTGCCAAACATTTCAGATTGAGCCATTACCTGTAAGAATGTTTGTCTCATTCACAGCCACGTTTAGGGGATCTTTCAGCTCTGGAATTTCATGTGTTTGGTACACAGAAAGGCTGATAATTTGAGGCGTCTGCCTTATGAGTTGTGGAAAGAGCTAACAGAATATTTGACTGTTCTGACTGTCACTCTGTGTCTCTATGTCTTCAATTTGGTGGTCTTTACACCTCGGATATACTACATAAAAAGTTACTAAATTCTTATTCATTTTAACAATGTGTATCAATTTTAACTTTTTGAAAACAGTGAGAATGTTTTTAAATTTCTGTTAGCCATAATGGTAAGAAACTATCCATTAGCCATAGAAAAGCCTAATGTTAACCATAAAAGTCACAACCTTATTGAACCCTCTTTATAACTACAGTCAAGAGAATAAAGTATTTTGTAGGCTCCTCGTATTTCATCTTCACCATTGCAATTACAGGTCTTGAAAATTATTGGTAATTTCACTGGCTTAATTGGCTATTTAAATAAATAAATTCAAAATCATACAATTGATGACCATGAACTAACAAATGCAAGTCACAGTCATGAAAGAATCAATTTTAAAAACTGTCTGCAGGTTTTCTCTTAATTAAATCAGAATCTCTCATGGAAAGTGTTGTTTACAGTCTCCCTAATCTGCAATTTTGCTGATCTTTTGCAACTCCTTTTTAAGCGATGACATATTGTGTGACGTCATCACTTTAAGCTGGCGTGTTTGCATTCCTTTGGATAGTGATTTCTCATAGTTTCATCGTTCTTAGGTCCATCACGCTTATGTCACGCATGACTTATCCCTCCATGGAAGCGAAATGCACTCTGGGAGTTAGTAAATGAGACAATTAGGTTCAGCAGTGTGCTTTTAATTCTAGCTTTTAAAAGAAGATTTAGGGGTGGATTTTGGTTTATACAGTATTGGATAAATTTGCATTCACGGGCAAACTCATAATAAGGACATAACCTCCATACATACAAGTTTAGATAGACAAGTACGTCGCACAGGCAATAGGTGAAGGCTTTGCGGCTTTCATCTGCTGTTTGTAGGATCAGCTGAGTGCTTTACATCGATATGACAAGTATACAGTTAAAACAACAAATTAATTCCCAGTGAGGTAATTAGTGTTGCCAAATATTTTTAAAGATAATAAGGTGTCGATTTCAGAGAGAGAAACTTCTACTTTGCGGCTTTCCTTTGCTGTTTGTAGGATCAGCGGAG